GCTGCCCTGCTGCGGCCGGAAGAGCGTGTTCTCGAGGACCCAGCCCGAGCCGCGCGCGAGGCCGTAGGCTGCGCCGCCCGCAATGCCAACGGCCAGCCCCGCCGTTGCCGCCGCGCCAACTCCCGCCGCGCCAGCCAACGTTCCAGCAACCTCGCCCGCGGTGGGCGCCAAAGCAGCGGCACCTTCTGCCAGGCCCCCCAAGTAGCCAAAGGCCCCGCCCACGCCCTCGGCGGCAACGGCCACCTCGCCCTCCTCCGCTGCCACGGCCGCCGTCTCCTCTATTGCCTCCGCGCCACGCTCCCCCTCCTGCGCGCGCTGCCCCGCCTCGTCCAGGAGGCGCTCCACGTCACTGGGCCGGCCTATGATCTGCGGAGGCGGCTGCGCCGGGCCCGGACGGGGCAACACATTTAGGCGCACGTACTCAGCTGCGTCCTGGGGCAGCTGAGAGCGGAAGGCCTGCGCGGCTGCGAGCCCCGCGGCCCCAGCGCCTACGAGGTCCGCTGCCGCCTGTGCGCCGTCTGCAGCGCTGCGCAAACGGCCCGTGATGGAGGGCGGCCCCTGACCGTTGCTGGCCAGCGCGTCGGCCCCCGGGTCTCCTGCAAGGTCGTCCTCGCCGAAGCGGTTTCCTCCTTGGTACCTCCGCGCAAGGCGCACGTCCTCGTCCGTGGCCTCTGCGGGAGTGCGGAAGCCTTCCTCGGGAATTGCCTGCAGGGGCGTGTGCTGCAGAGGCTGCGGGTGGGGGTCCTCGCTGGACTGCACAAAATCGTCCAGGTAGAAGTGGCTTGTGATGAACGAGGTGGCCTTGCGGTCCGGCTGGTCCAGCAGCGGCTCGTTCCGCTCAAGGTAGCCCACCACCTGCTCAAAGCGCGGGCGCTGGTTGAAGCCGTGCGCCCGGAGTGTCTTCATTTACTGTTGCGCAACTTCGTCCGCCGCCCGTTCCACGCCCCGGCGCTCGGCCCGCGCGTAGCGCAGCTGGGGTACCTGGCGGTGCACGGCCTCCGTCAGCCGGCTCATGTCGTCCAGGTGCCGCTGCCCCTCCTGCGCCTGCCTGCGCTCGCCCAGCCAGTTGTTGAAGGCCCGCGCCTCCTCCAGTTCTCGGTAGCGCTTCAGCAGCAGCGGCTGCAAGTTGTAGCTGGGGTACGTTTTGCGAAACCACCGGAGCATCCGCGGCTCGTTGCGAGGTTCAATCGACATCATCTTGCTTTTATACCAGTACGCTTGCGCCTGTGGTCAGCCGGTCCTAGGCGGACTGCCTCTCCAGCATGCGCAGGGCGCGCTGCTGCTCTCTCGTGAGCTGAGGCGGCTCCGGTGCAGCCGGTGCCTCAGCCGGTGCCTCCGCCGGCGTCTCAACCGGTGCCTCAACCGGCGTCTCAACCGGCTTTGGCTTGCGCTTTGGAGCAGCCGGCTCAGTAGGCACGTCCTGCTTCGGTTTGTTCTTGCTCCCAGGGGGCCTGCCCCGCCGTTTCGGTTCCGGCGCAGCGTCCGGCGCAGCGTGCGGCGCAGCGTGCGGCGCAGCGTGCGGCGCAGCGTGCGGCGCAGCGTGCGGCGCAGCGTCCTGCACCTCTTGCGCCTCTTGCGCCTCTTGCGCCGCCTCGTGTTCGGTTGGCTCCATTTATTATACGTGGTCAAGATACAACACGAAGGACAAAGACGACCCGCGAAGCCGGACGACGTTGCCGTCCAGGTCGGTCAGGCGGAAGCGCATGTGCCTCAGGGTAACCGGGCCCTGAGTGCCATGAAGTGCCCGTCGTCTGAGCCCGTCTCCACAATGGTGCCCACTCCGCTCTTCAGCGTGATCTTGGAGAGGATGTCGTCGCCCAGGTTGCCCAGCACTCTGCTGGCGTTGCCAGCTGGGCGCAGCGCAGGTAGACCTCGTTGTGCGCCATCATTTTGAGAAATTCGAAGACCTGCTGCCCGCCTGAGACGAAGCTCGGGCCGAGCATGTGGTCGATGCTGAAGGGCTTGGTCGGAGAGGCGGCCGGCGCGGAGGAGTAGTCCGCGGCATCTGGGAATTGCTGGCGCAGCTCCAGGTCGTTCAGGATCAGCCGGTTGCCGTCGTAGGCAACGCTCAGGCTGTTTGTGGTCTCGCCGTAGGTGGCGGTGGCAAAGTTGGAGCTGATCCAGGCGGCCAACCGTGCGCCAGTGTACGCGCCCTCAGGCAACAACGCCCAGTTCAGCGTGCCCAGCGCGGCGTCGACCCAGTAGAGGTAGCGGCCCCGGTCCGTGGACAAAAAGCTGTCGGCCAGGCGGATCTTGTAGACGGCAAGCCGGGCGTCGCTCTGCAGGTGCAGGGACTCCCCCAGGTCCACCTCGAAGTCGCTGTCCGAGCCGGCCACTCTCTTGCGGCTGTCCACGTAGATAGTCGTCATCCTTTTCCATAGGAGGCCGCCCGTTCTGCGGACGACGGGCGGGTGGACGGCTGCGACGGAGGTGCAGCAGGAGATGTTTTCACACTTCGCGTTTATGAGCGTGGAGCTAGCGAACAGCTTCTGGCCCAGGAAGCTGAGCGCCGCTCCCATCGGCTTCTCTTTCCAATGCGAAACGCTCTTCAATGCGCTTGAAGAACATTTCATTCCTCGGCTTCAGGTAGTAGACGAAAAGGAAGCTGTAAGGTTCCCGCGTCGCCTGCTCGTACAACTGGTAGAGCTGCTCCTACGGCAGCAGGGCGCTGAGCTCCTCCACCACGGCGTCCAGCTCGTGCTGGTTGCGCAGCCTCCAGCAGCAGAGGAATTGCTGGTTGACCCGCACGGCTGCGCTGATGAGCCGTAGCTTCTGGGACGATACCCACGTTGATAATTGCATGTGCCGACCGCGGATGAAGAGAGTGTCCAGGGCGCCGTTTGGTTTATGCAATTGCGGCATGTCCGCTACATCGTCCAGGATGACCAGCACCTGATACAGTTTCTTCATCTCCAACTTCTTGGACGCCTCGGTGATCTTGCGCTGCTGCTGGATGATGCGGCGCAGCGCCGCCTCGTCCCACTCGTCCCAGTAGGCTTGCTCCCGTTCAGTATTCACTCCCAGGTCCTGCTCGATGTACTTCTAGACGGGAATCCAGCCGTCGTCGATGTCGATGGACGGACTGAAAATATAGATTCTCTCAAACACGCCGCGATACTGCTCCAGAATCAGGCTGATCAGAGTCACGGTTTTGCCCGATTTGGAAGGTCCGAGGACGATACCTGTGCACGGAACCAGTGGCACCACGGGGTCCGAGGGCTGTTTGCTGCTGTATTCTGGCGTGGGGAAAAGCTTGATCTTTCCCATGACGTTCCTTTGCGTTACTTGTCAAATTTGAAGCCGGCAAGCCGGGCGGCGAGTCCGGCTGCGCACTGCTACACAGCAGTACGCTTCCAGTGTTTTCCGGGCAAGCCGGGCGGCGAGTCCGGCAGTGCATCGGTGTGTACCGACGCACTGCCGGTGTTTTTTCCGCGCAATCCGGGCGGCGAGTCTGGGGGCGTAGTGCTGTACAGCACAGCGCTTCCAGCGTTTTCTGGGAAACACCGGGGCAATCCTGTGCCCACGCCAGGATTGAGTGTGGCAATCCTGTGCCCACGCCAGGATTGAGTGTGGCAATCCTGTGCCCACGCCAGGATTGAGTGGGGCAATCCTGTGCCCACGCCAGGATTGACGGCTGGGCGAGTGAGTGGTGAAAAAAACACTCCGTCAGTGGCACCCGCGAGGACAGGCCCGCTGTCGGACCTCCGGCGCTGGCCCGGTGATGGAAAAAACACTCCGGGAGATATGCTGCGAGGACAGCATATCTCCCGGACCTTCGGCGCTGGCCCGGTGATGGGTTTTTCGGACAGGTTCGCCGAAACTGTCGGGTTAGACGACAGTTTCGAAAAAAAAATTCCGGGGCTCAGGAGGCTTCGATGCCGGGCAGGCGCGGCCGGGCTTCTATGCCGGGCAGGCGCGGCCGGGCTATGCCGGGCAGCTGGGGCCTCACAGCCATTCGCAAAAAAAAAGCGTGCTGCAGTCCTCCCCCCACGGGAGGACTGGAATTTTTGTGACATTGGTGCCACCAATGTCAAGGAAACGAGGTTGGGCGAGCCCGTTTTGGGCGAGCCCGTACTCATTGGGCGAGCCATCAAACGAGGTTGGGGCGAGCCATCAAACGAGGTTGGGGCGAGCCATCAAACGCGGTTGGGCGAGCCAGTACTAAGCCGTTGGGCGAGCCCGTACTTGGGCGAACCAGTTGGGCGAGCCAGTACTAAGCCGTTGGGCGAGCTCAACCAGTGGCCTCCACGCCTTGGCGCTCCTACGGTGCCAGCTCGGCACTGTGCCCGCTCGGCACGGTGCCAGCTCGGCACTGTCCTAAAGTACCCGCTCGGTACTGTCCTACAGTACCCGCTCGGTACTCCTAAGTGCCCGCTCGGCACTGTCCTAAAGTACCCGCTCGGTACTGTCCTACAGTACCCGCTCGGTACTCCTAAGCGCACTTGCTCAGTGCGACTTGCCCGACGCTAGTTCAGCGCCTCCAATGCGCACTTGCTCAGTGCGACTTGCCCGACGCTTGTTCAGCGCCTCCAATGCGCACTTGCTCAGTGCGACTTGCCCGACGCTTGTTCAGCGCCTCCAATGCGCACTTGCTCAGTGCGACTTGCCCGACGCTTGTTCAGCGCCGTCAAAAAAAAACGGACCAATCGTGCCCTCGTCTCGCTCTCTGTCTCTCTCTCTGTCTCTCTCTCTCTCTGTCTCTCTGATTCTGCAAACGCAGCAACCTTTTCACGAACGGTCGTGTCCAAAGTCGGCCCGCTCACCATCCACGAATCCTGCACGGATCAAAAAAACACGTCACGTCAATCACTAACCACACGCCCGTCCTCCTCAGCGGAGATCGCCCGGATCAGCTCCCCTGAAAGCACGGCGCCCGCTTGCAAAAACGGCCGACGCGCACCAGCACGCCTCACCCTTCTTCCTCGACTTGGATTTCGATGAGGTCCCCGAAGCTTCCTGGCTCAAGACGAAGAAATAATTTAGAGCATGCGCACAAACACGGCAGGCGCACGATCCGCGCCAAGTCCAAGGCATGACGCGTCACCACGTCCGCAAGCTCCGCCTTTCGACCGGCCTCCATCCTGTCCACCACCTCCCGCAGCCGCTGACACTCCACCGCAAAATCCCGATTCGCTCGGGTGAACTTCTGCAACGTGGCTCCGTGTTGCAAGACCTCCTGCTGCAGCCGCTCGGCCTTCTCTGCCTCGCGATGCAAAAAGAAGAGAACGGGGCAGGACAACCTGAAAGCGCTTGCCCGCCTCCGTCTTCGCCAAGGCTGTCAGCCTCTCATTCTCGGCGATCAAGTGAGTGCCGGACGCAATGGCCTTGCCGTACTCCGCACAAAGAAGAAAAATAAGAGACATAAAAAACTGCCTTCTGGTTCGTCTCGTTGTACAGCCCCCACCAATAGGCCGTGTTCTGCTTCTCCCTCTCGACCACTGCCTGGAGCTTCCCCACCTCCTTCACCTGATATGCGACAAAGCACACATGCATCACGCATTCGTAAAAAAAGGCCCACCTGTGATTCCAGCCGATGCCTCACCGCCCGGAGCTCGTACGCGTTCCCTGTGGATTTCCTGCCAGGACACAACGCTCACAAAACCCAACGACCACCTAAATGCCTCTTCTTCGTGGTTCCCGCGTCCCTGGCAGACCTCGGCAACAATAAAGTCGCTCATGCGGCAGACGGTGCCCCTAAGCACCGCGCCCACTCGCAGAAGGCTCCGGTCCCTGCTGCCAGGTCCTACATCCAAGACTCTCGCAAAAAACAGTAGAAAAACCAACGAGCAGTCCTGTCACCAGTCCACCACTCCTCTCCGTCCCCACCTGTCACCTCCTGGCGTTGAAAAAAAAAAACAAGGAAAAGACGAGGGCGAGTCGGGCCTGCTGCAGCTCCTGCGGCTGATGCCACCCCTCCTGCCGTGGAAAAAAAACAGGGAAAAAATCGAGGGCGAATCGTGCCTGGTGCGTCGGACCCCAATCCTCCTGACGTGGAAAAAACAAGGGAAAAAAAGGGAGAAAAAAACGAGGGCAATTCGAGCCTGTGGCTCCCATTGGCCCCACCGTTCCTCCTGACAGCAACACACCCATAAAAAAAAACCGGCACAAAAAAAACTTCAAATGTCCTCCGTGACTCCACTCATGGCCGGGGCGCTGCTGATGTTGCTGCTGCTGATGTTGCTGCTGCTAATGTTGCTGCTGCTGATGTTGCTGCTGCTGATGTTGCTGTCTGATCCGGGCCAAAATCTTGCGAAGCACAATACAAGGCTCGTCTAACGTTTAAGAAACAAATCCCAGCACCCCCCCAGCATCTCCAGCAGAGGCGTCCCGAGCGGGACATAAAAAGCGCACCAAAATCATGCAAAATCATGTCATGCCAAAACCATGCCATGCCAAAACCATGCAAAAAACAAGCTGTTCCACATGCAAAAACCATGCAAAATGCGGCGCGTACGGAGCGCCAACCCGCTGAACCTCCACTCTCCCCGGGTTCCTTGCTATATGTGCTATATGTGCTATATCTCACAAGACAACCCACTGAACATCCACTCTCCCCGGGTTCCTTGCTATATGTGCTATATGTGCTATATCTCACAAGACAACCCACTGAACATCCACTCCCCCCCAGCTCCTTGCTATATGTACTATATGTGCTATATAGCCCTATATAGCACAATATAGTACAGAAATCGCAGCGTAAACACAGAGTATATATTTAATAAATAAATAAGGCACATATAGTACATATAAGCAAGGAGCAGGGCGAAGTGGGGGTTCAGCTTGGCTGTAAGACCCATATAGCCATATAGCACATATAGCAACACCGGGGAAGAGTGGAAGTTCACGGCTTGCGAGTAAGAATATAGCACATATAAGCACATATCACAATATGCAATGAACAGCCGGGAAGAGTGGGGTTTAGTGGCTAGGCGCGGCTTTTCAAATGCCGGCAGGTGCGCGCCGGAGTGGCCAAGGAACATGTTCATTACCGACAATGTAACTTCCGACAAGTAAATTAAGCGCGTATTACGCTTGGGCGCGGCAGAAATGTGAACGCAAGTGGCACTTGCATTGGCACTTGCGTTGAAGAAATTAAGCGTATAGCAAGGAATCCTGGGGGAATTTCAATGCAGGGTTTCTGCAGGGAATCCCTGCATTCCCTGTATCCCTCTCTTTAGAAGACTTTTCAGCAGTTCTCAGGCGAACCTCTCTCTTTAGAGGGGGTTTTCCAAATGGCTTATATTGTACCTGAGAGGCTTCGAGCACTCGTCCGTCCAGCATTTGACCTCGTCCTGCGAAGGATTCGAAGTCTAAAACGCTGCGTGCAGGCGTGTGGCTGCAAAATAGAGACCCCTAGATATGCGCTTCAATTTGGCTCCAGGTTGCATTTCAAGCGATGTCAAGCTTTGCCAAAGGAAACCCCTTTTCCCTTTTTTTCGGGGACCCCTTTTTTTTGGACCCCTTGTTTTGATTTTTTTTGTTTTTCTTAGCCCTGCAAAGGTTGGCTCGCTTGAAATGCAACCTGGAGCCAAATTGCAAGCATATCTAGGGGTCTCTATTTTGCAGCCACACGCCTGCACGCAGCGTTTTAAACTTCGAATCCTTCGCAGGACGAGGTCAAATGCTGGACGGACGAGTGTCAGAAGCCTCTCAGGTACAATATAAGCCATTTGGAAAACGCCCTCTACAGAGAGAGCCCCTGGCGCCCATATCCGCCGCCTCGCTGATGCGTTGTCGTTGTCTCATCCAACTTGCCATTCTTTTTTACGGGGCCAGATTTTTTTGGTTGGCCGCGCATTCTCCCCGGCCATACCTGCACGTATGGCCGGGGAGAATAGCTTTTTTACGCGGTTTTGCGCTACAAAATGCTATTAGTCTAGTCCGTATGTCTATATACGGACGGGACTAATAGCTCGTTTTTGCACGTTTTTTGCATGGCATGATTTTTGCATGGCATGACATGATTTTGCATGATTTTGGTGCGCTTTTTCATGTCCCGCTCGGGACGCCTCTGGGGATGCTCAGCATGCTGGAGATGCTGGGGGGTGCTGGGATTTGTTTCTTAAACGTTAGACGAGCCTTGTATTGTGCTTCGCAAGATCTCGGCCCGGATCGGACAGCGGCATCAGCAACAGCAGCATTCACTCTTGGCTCGGACAGCAACAGCAGTTTGGCTCGGGTAGGGGTCATTAGGTGTGAGCAGGCTCGGATCGGGCATTAGGTGCGAGCAGGCTCGGGTAGGGGTCATTAGGTGCGAGCAGGCTCGGATCGGGCATTAGGTGCGAGCAGGCTCGGGTAGGGGTCATTAGGTGCGAGCAGGCTCGGATCGGGCATTAGGTGCGAGCAGGCTCGGGTAGGGGTCATTAGGTGCGAGCAGGCTCGGGTAGGGGTCATTAGGTGTGAGGCTCGGGTAGGGGTCACTAGTGAACAGCAACAGCATCAGCAGCACCAGCAACATCAGCGCCCCGGCCATGAGTGGAGTCACGGAGGACATTCGAAGTTTTTCGTGCCGGTTTTTTTTCTGGGTGTGTCAGGAGGAATGCTGGGGCCAATGGGAGCCGCAGGCTCGAATTGCCCTCATTTTTTTTCTCCCTTTTCCCCCTTTTTTTTCACGTCAGGAGGAGTGGGGTCAGACGCACCAGGCCCGACTCGCCCTCGTTTTTTTCTTGTTTTTTTTCCACGCCAGGAGGAGTGGCGTCAGCCGCATGGAGCGCACCAGGCCTGACTCGCTCTCGATTTTTTCCCTTTTTTTTTTCCACGGCAGGAGGGGTGGCGTCCGCATGAGCTGCACCAGGCCCGACTCGCCCTCGTCTTTTCCTTGTTTTTTTTTTCCACGCCAGGAGGAGTGGCATCCGCCGCAGGGGTGGCTTCCGCATGGAGCGCACCAGGCCCGACTCGCCCTCGTCTTTTCCTTGTTTTTTTTTTCCACGCCAGGAGGAGTGGCATCCGCCGCAGGGGTGGCTTCCGCATGGAGCGCACCAGGCCCGACTCGCCCTCGATTTTTGTTCCCCCTTTTTTCCACGGCAGGAGTGGCATCCGCATGGGCCGCACCAGGCCCGACTCGCCTTCGTGTTTTTTCCCCTTTTTTTCCACGTCAGGTGGAGTGGGATGGCGCCGGCAGCTCCGGGTGGAAGGTGCCTCGCAGGCCTGATTTTTTTTTCACGCGTTTGCGTCATCTCGCCACTTGAAGGCCGCCGTCGAAGGTGAAGAGGGAGAAGGCGTTCAACGATGAGAAGGCTCGTCGTATCGTGAGAGGGGGCTGTGGGCTATCCTTTTTTTTTCCGCCAGGACGCGATGCGCCGCGAGCTGGCGGTCAAGGCGGGTACAATTTCAACGGTAAACGGATGAAGATCACATTTGCAGGACGCGACCATCCGCGAGCTCCGCGGCCAGCTCGCGGAGCACGCGGACACGGCGGCGAAGCTCGTGGAGAAGGCTCGTTTTTTTTCCGCCGGCTGGCGGACCGTTGTGGCTGACAGGAGATGGAGTGCCTCCGCCTCTTCACGAAGCTCGAGGCGGAGCAGAAGTGGATCGAGGGCTACAAGGAGCGCGGCGTCCCCCTTTTTTTTTCCTCAGCAGTGAGCCGTCAGGCCGACATCAAAGCCCTCTACGAGGAGAACCAACGGCTGCGGCTGGAGGTGGGAATCGGCTCATCCGTTGTCTCTTGAATCCCCTTTTTGGGAGGCCGCCACCGCCGCAGCCGCCGCTCCGCCGGCGAAAAAGCCACGCAAGGCGCCTTTTTTTTCTCCGCTTTGGGCCATGTTTGAACGTTCTTGTCAGGCGGCATGAGCTGGACATCGTGGCGGGAGGACCGTGTTTTTGCGTTTTTTCGCGTGCTTTTTCAAGCGTTTGTTCAACCTGCAGGAGTGAGCGTGGCCGACTCGAGCTCATCCTGATGGAGGAAAAAGCGCTCGGGCCCGCGGTTTTTTTTTTTTTAGTGCCGAGCGGGCACTTAGGAGTGCCGAGCGGGCACTTAGGAGTGCCGAGCGAGCACTTTAGGTAAACGTGCCGAGCGGGCACTCTAGATTAGGAGTAGGTAGTGCCGAGCGGGCACTTAGGAGTGCCGAGCGGGCACAGTGCCGAGCGGGCACTTAGGTAAACGTGCCGAGCGGGCACTTAGGAGTGCCGAGCGGGCACGGTGCCGAGCGGGCCCGTAGGATAGTACGGGTTCGCCCAACGGCCCATAGTACTGGTTCGCCCAACGGCCCATAGTACGGGTTCGCCCAACGGCCCCCTTAGTACGGGTTCGGCCAACGGCCCATAGTACTGGTCCGCCCAACCTCGTTTGATACTGGCTCGCCCAACGGCCCCCTTAGTACGGGTTCGCCCAACGGCCCCCTTAGTACGGGTTCGCCCAACCTCGTTTTATACTGGCTCGCCCAACGGCCCCCTTAGTACTGGTTCGCCCAACGGCCCCCTTAGTACGGGTTCGGCCAACGGCCCATAGTACTGGTCCGCCCAACGGCCCCCTTAGTACGGGTTCGCCCAACGGTTTCTTAGTACGGGTTCGCCCAACGGCCCATAGTACTGGTCCGCCCAACCTCGTTTGATACTGGCTCGCCCCACTGGCCTAGCTCTGTGCCCCCCCCTGAGGCGGTTTTTTATTTATATAAAAATCTAAATGCTTCCATCCCTGGCAGGTTGTCTCCCGTGCTTTCTGTGCCCCTCTGAGGCGGTTTTATTTATAGAAAAATCTAAATGCTTCCATCCCTGGCAGGTTGTCTCCCGTGCTTTCTGTGCCCCTCTGAGGCGGTTTTTTATTTATATAAAAATCTAAATGCTTCCATCCCTGGCAGGTTGTCTACCGTGCTTTCTGTGCCCCTCTGAGGCGGTTTTTTATTTATATAAAAATCTAAATGCTTCCATCCCTGGCAGGTTGTCTCCCGTGCTTTCTGTGCCCCTCTGAGGCGGTTTTTTATTTATATAAAAATCTAAATGCTTCCATCCCTGGCAGGTTGTCTCCCGTGCTTTCTGTGCCCCCTGAAACGGTTTTTTTATTTATATAAAAATCTAAATGCTTCGATCCCTGGCAGGTTGTCTCCCGTGCTTTCTGTGCCCCCTGAGGCGGTTTTTTTATTTATATAAAAATCTAAATGCTTCGATCCCTGGCAGGTTGTCCCCGTGCTTTCTGTGCCCCCTTGAGGCGGTTTTCCACAGGCATTTAGATTTTTATATAAATAAAAAAGCACCTCAGGGGGGCACGGAAAGCATGGGAGACAGCCTGCCAGGGATGGAAGCATTTAGATTTTTATATAAATAAAAAAAGCCATCCTCATCCTTGAGGTGTGTGATATAGGGATGCCAACATGCGAAGCGCACGGAGCTGAGTTCCAGGTCGTTGGGCGAAGCAGTATTAATCCTACGTGCCCACTCGGCACTGCCCAAAAAACCTCCCCCCAGCGCCAGACCCAGGCCATTTGACAAGCCGCGAGGAAGTATTTTTTTTTATTTTTTTTTTAAATAAAATTTTATATTTTATATAAAACTAACTAAACGCATGCATTCCTTGTCAGACTGCCTGCAGAGGGATTGAAGCATTTAGATTTTATATGAACAAAACCGCCTCAAGGGGCACAGAGCTAGGCCATTTGACAAGCTGCGAGGAAGTATTCTTTTCTTTTTTTTAAAAAAATAAATTTTAATATTTTATATAAAACTAACTAAACGCATGCATTCCTTGTCAGACTGCCTGCAGAGGGATTGAAGCATTAAGATTTTATATGAACAAAACCGCCTCAAGGGGCACAGAGCTAGGCCATTTGACAAGCCGCGAGGAAGTATTCTTTTCTTTTTTTAAAATTATTAAAGTTTTCATTTTATATAACAACTAAACGCATGCATTCCTTGTCAGACTGCCTGCAGAGGGATTGAAGCATTAAGATTTTATATGAAAACAACCGCCTCAAGGGGCACAGAGCTAGGCCATTTGACAAGCCGCGAGGAAGTATTCTTTTCTTTTTTTTTTTAAAAAAATAAAGTTTTTATTTTATATAAAAAGCTAAACGCGCGCATTCCTTGTCAGACTGCCTGCAGAGGGATTGAAGCATTTAGCTTTTTAGAAAAATAAAACCGCCTCAAGGGGCACAGAGCCAGGCCATTTGACAAGCCGCGAGGAAGTGTTTCGATTAAAAAAAAAAGTTTTTATTTTATATAAAACCTAAACGCTCGCATTCCTTGTCAGACTGCCTGCAGAGGGATTGAAGCATTTGTTTTTTTAGAAAAATAAAACCGCCTCAAGGGGCACAGAAAGCACGGGATGCCAGGTTCGAAGCATTTAGATTTTTATATAAATAAAAAAGCGCCTCAGGGGGGCACGGAAAGCATGGGAGACAGCCTGCCAGGGATGGAAGCATTTAGATTTTTATATAAATAAAAAACCGCCTCAGGGCGGCACGGAAAGCGGATGCCAGGGATGGAAGCATTTAGATTTTTATATAAATAAAAAACCGCCTCAGGGCGGCACGGAAAGCACGGGATGCCAGGGATGGAAGCATTTAGATTTTTATATAAATAAAAAACCGCCTCAGGGAGGCACAGAAAGCACGGGATGCCAGGGATGGAAGCATTTAGATTTTTATATAAATCAAACCGCCTCAGGGGGGCACAGAAAGCACGGGATGCCAGGGATGGAAGCATTTAGATTTTTATATAAATAAAACCGCCTCAGGGGGGCACAGAAAGCACGGGATGCCAGGGATCGAAGCACGAGGGATCGAAGCATTTAGATTTTTATATAAATAAAACCGCCTCAGGGGGCACAGAAAGCACGGGATGCCAGGGATCGAAGCACGAGGGATCGAAGCATTTAGATTTTTATATAAATAAAAAACCGCCTCAGGGGGGGCACAGAACTAGGCCATTTGACAGCATCTCCAGGACCGGGTGGAGTTGCCGCTCAGACGCCTTCGACTTCGGCTGCTGTTTCCGAATGTCCGGGGCCTGGTTGCCAGTCATTGCCAAGCATTCGGGTACTTGCTGGGACGTGCCATCTTTATCTTTTGAAGCATTGTCTCAGAAGGAACTTAGCTTTCGACACCTACCATGACCATGGATGCCGCGCGGTCCCTGGCGGTGCAGCTCGTGCTGAGCCCAACGCATCGAGTTGGCGAGAAGTGCGGCTTCAGGATCTTCCCCGGCTCTGCGTCGTCCTGCTTCAAGATGATGATGCACTTGGTGCACCCGGACAAGTGCACGGACCCCCGCGCGGGAGAGGCCTTCGGTGAGATGCAGAGCATGAAGAGCTTGGCGGTCGGCAGTGATCCAGACGCTACTCGCCAGCGGCCCATGACTGAGCTGGAGGGGCTTCTGCACCGCGCGCTGTGCAAGATCCGAGATCCGGTGGAGACCGCCGCAGAGGTCATCAATTTCTGTGACGGCCTTCTCCGTCGGCGCAAGCGCCTTGAGAGATCTGTGTGCCAGGAAGCCTTGGCGAGGCTCCAGTGGCTCAACCTCAATGATGCCAACCTCGAGGAAGCTGAGTCGGTGCGGGAGCTCCAACGCGTCTTTGAAAGGAGGCTCTCAAAGGCTCTTGCGGAGGTTCAGGAGCAGACGGAGGAGCCGGCCGAAAAGCCGGCTGAGGCCCAGGAGGAGACGGAGGCCCAGGAGCAGACGGAGGCCCATGAGCCGGCAGAGACGGAGGCCCACGAGCCGGCCGAAAAGCCGGCTGAGGCCCAGGAGGAGACGGAGGCCCAGGAGGAGACGGAGGCCCATGAGCCGGCCGAGGAGCCGGTTGAGGAGGCGGCCGAGGCCCAGATGGAGACGGAGGAGCAGACGGAGACGGAGGCATGGGCCGGCCGAGGAGCCGGCTGAGGCCCAGGAGGAGACGGAGGCCCATGGCCCGGTCAAGGAGCCGGCCGAGGAGCCGGAGCAGATGGAGACGGAGACGGAGGAGCCGGAGCAGATGGAGACGGAGGTCAAGGAGGAGGAGGTGGAGGAGGTAGAGGAGGAGGTAGAGCTTCCGACACCCGCCCAACTGGGGCACTACACGCAGTTCAAGGAGCAGTTTAGCGAGCCTCCCGAGGAACCTAAAACACCATCGCCTTGTTTGGGAGCGGACGGACGTGTTCACCATCAGCAACGCTCTGCAGCTCGACGCCGTGCGGCGATGCCCCGACCACAGTCTCTTTGATGTGCTGATGAGCCTGTTCAAGCGCTCTGTGAATGTGGACCAGGACGGCATTGGGTGGATTCCCGTGCTCCTGCGCCCAGGCCGCACCGCGCCTGGGCTGAAGGGGCGGATCTTCTCCGGCATCGGTCGGTGCCCGCACAGGAGGCGCCTGCCAAAAAGCGCAAAGGCAATGAGGGCGCCGTGGATTCCGCTCGGGCAGAGTTCATGAGCAGCTGCCGCCGGAGATTCGCAAGGAGATCGAGATGGGGGTCCCAGACACGCTTGTGGGGCGCTCTGCGTTTGCCTTCAAGAAGTTGGTCCGCTACATTGCGCGGCATCGCCTTGGATCCGTCGAGCTGGACATCAAGAACTCGTTCTTCCAGCTCTTGAACCGACAGAAGCCGCTGCCGCCCATCATGGCGGAGTACCTGGACCACCGTGAGGAGTAGCTCGCGCAGATCGGCCGCGTGCTCTTCCACAAGCTGCCCGAGGCCCGCCGGCGCAGCGTGGCGAAGGAGCTGATGATTGCCCTGGGCTTTGGGGGTGGTTTCGCAAACTGGACGAGCAAGGTGCTGCAGGACATACCCTTGGCTTCGGATGAGGGGAGCGCGGCGAGGTGGCTGCTTGGCTCTACGGCTTCGAGACGGCGGCGCGCCTCTACCACGTGGCCGTTTTTGAGCTGCTGCCACAGAAGGCCAAGGACTGGCACATGGCGCAGGGCCGCTCCACTGCCTCGGGGGCCTTTGCCCTGTACGCCCACCACGAGAGGTTGCAGATGGAGAAGATGGCGGCGGCAGCGGGCAGGGCCTTCAACGACCACCAGCACGACGGCATCGGGGCCCTCCGCTCCGCGAGCGAGGCCGTGAAGCGAGCCGTGGATGTCGAGGTGGTCGTGCACGAGCTGGAGGACCCGTGGGCATACGCGGCGGCGAAGTACCCCAACTTGGATGGGAGACTCAAGTCGAAGATGGAGTTCTCCGGGTACCACCAACTGCTCCAGCGCTGCAGGCAGCACGTCATACTTGGACGGGCGAGGGCAAACACCGTGGACTTTGCGAAGCTGGCGGCGGCGCAGCTGGTCCCGGTCGTACACGTTCCGGGGGAGGGGGGTGAGAAGAGGACCACCTACGAAAGCTTCGAGAAGGGAGGCTTCTGGCTGGTGCGAAACCGGGACGACTTGGGCCAGACCGTGGAAGACCTGATGTGCAAGATGTGTTGCCCGGTCTTCGAGACAGCCGATGAGAACTACGTACCGCCGCCGCCCCTCAACGATAATGCCTTCTTCACGGTCTGTCCTCGTCCGTTCTGGGGCGTCTGGCAGGCCCGCAGATGGCGGACCTCGACGGCGACGAGACACGGCACAAAATCCTCTTTTGCGACGGCATGCTCTACGATTTCAAGGAGCGTGTCCTCCGATCACCGATCCCCGCCGACCGCATGGGCTTCCACGCGGCGGCGACCTCAGAGATGTGGCAGCCGTGCAAGGCGACCAAGCTCTTCGAGCACATCCTGGCTTTCTTGAAGGAGCATGTGGAGACGGGGGTGTGTCTGCTCGAGGCCAGCGAGAATGGCAAACAGGTCATCGAGTGCTTCGAGGAATTGGAGCAGGACGGGTGCGAGATCCTCCGCCACATGAAGGTGTACGGGGACTGGGACCGTCCTTTACGAGCTGCGTCTCATGACCAGGGCCATCTCCGCGACGCCGCGGTTCTGCGAGATGTACTACATCTGGGGAAGCCAGGATTCCGGAAAGGACACCAAGGTGAAGATGTTGCACGCCTTCCTCGGTCACGGCAAGGACAACTACGGGGTGCAGCTTCCGGGAAACTATGTGGTGCAACAGACTCGCTACCTGACCGCGAAGGACGGACCCGCGCCTTACCATGCAAGGACTCTAGGCAAGCGGCTGGCCTGGGCCAGTGAAGTCCCCGAGCACTACTCGTTGGCGGATGACTTCATCAAGCCCTTTTGTGACATGGAAGGTGCGCCAGTCTGCAGCAGGAAGCTCAACAAGGGTCCCCGGGACTTCATGCCTACGGCTTTGCTGGTGGCAACAAGCAATCACCCTCCCCGTGTGACTCGACCGGATGGGATGCTGCGGCGGCTTCGAGTCTGCCAGACAACGGTCAGCTTCACCTTGAAGCCGTCCATGGCCACCGAGGAGCGAGCCGTGGATGGCCTCAAGACCGGATAGACCGAGGAGAGTTCAACAAGTACATCTTCTTCCTTGCGGCAAATCTCGTGGACTCGTTGGAGATGGAGTACAACCCAGGCACCGAGATCAAGCCGCAGCCACCGGAGATGAAGATGAGCGCCATGGACCTGGTCCCATGTGCAGACAAGGACGAGGAGGCCAAACCCGAGGCCTTCATGGCAGAGATGTGTGAGCTGGTGCCCTTGAAGGAAGCAAACCTCCACACGGAGCTGACGATGGCGCTGAAGACCTACCTCAGCCTGGACACCTTGGGCGCGGCAAAGAGCGTGATCTCGAAGCTGGGGATCAAAGGACAATCCTATGGCCCGCGGTACATCTCCACCCTCAAGCAAAATGAGCGCATGGTGCTCCGATCGGCAAGTAGCTCTTAGGCTTTTGGGTGACGTACAGTGTCAGCCATTTGCAGAGACCCGGCAAGTCACGTGAACAGATGGCGTGCTTGCGCAAGGAAAACGCTGTCCAACCCTTGCTGTCTTGAGCGCACCTCAGATGTCCAACCCTTGTTAGATGCCTCAATGCCTGAGGCTGCGGTCTCGACGTCTTGCTCGGGCAGGTCGATAGGTCGAGGACACGGAAATGGGGATTTAGATTTTTATAATGATGTCGTCCGAGAGGGGTGCTCTCAGGAAAATCATGCTAGGGTTCCCCCAAAAACACGACTCAAAGTACTACAAGTTTCCAGCGCTTTATGCAAAGTTTCCGGTTTGGTCCAAAGTAGCCGTAATCAGTCGAGGGTCCTGGGCCTTGGAGGCGCCAGGAAGTCGTCCAGCTGCCTGACAGCTGCCGGCCTGCCCCGCCTCGTCAGTCGGCCCGCCGCGTTGCCGCTGCCCTGGGGCGCCGGCAGCGCCAGCTTCAGCAGGGTCTCCCGGCCCTTGGTGCTCCGGACGGTCATGGAGTCCACGGCCCGCAGCTGCTGCACGTCGCCGTTCTGAGGGTTGAAGCTCCTCGCCGCGTTCGTCGGTGCTCGGAAAGCGCCCGCGTCCTCCACTGCCTTGATGCGGCGGTTCGTCAAGTCCTTGTTGTGCTGGAACCTGTCGGCGTTGTCTTGGAGGACCCTGAACTCTGTGGCCGGCTGCTTCTCCACGTCTACCGGGGCGCCATGCACCGTCTCGTGGGGCCGCGCGTTGTAGGCCGAAGCGGTCTGCTCAAAGTGGTCGCTCCACTGGCCGCCCTTGCGGGCCACGCGCGTGGCCAGGTCCTTCTTCAGCGTCTGGATTCCCCGGTCCACCACGGCCGTGGCGTTGCGGTCCTCCGGGCGCATCGTTCGGTGCACGGCTTCCGCGGGCAGCTCCCGGTCCAGCGTGGCGAACTCGTTGCCCAGGTCTGTCGTGACCACAAAGTTCCCGTCGTCCCCCGTCAGCTCCCGCGCGGCGCGCTTGGTGGCCCGGCCCACCGTCTCGGCGTTCTTGTTCTGCAGAGGTTCCACGGCAGCCTCCCGGGTGAAGACGTCCATCACCACCAGGCCATACTTCGTCTTCCCCGCGTGTTCTGGCTGAAGTCGATGAGGTCGGCCTGCAGCCGGTCGTTCGGCCCCTCGGCGGCCGACTTGCCCAGCGCACGCGGCCGTGGCGCCTGCACCTGCCGGCCCACGTCGGCCTTCAGCGCCTCGAAGGCCATGGCCTGCGTCACGTCAAGGTCGCGCTGCCTCGCAAGTCGGTACAGCTTCCGTGGGTCCCGCACGTTGAAGTCGTCGGCCAGGTCCCTCAGCGCCTCCATGTTTACTTGTTCTTCGGCCCCCGCTGCGCCTGCCAGGCTTCAAGTGCGTCCAGCCGGGCCTGGAAGCCCTTGCGCACCCCCCACAGTACGCTGGTGAGGTGAGAGTAGTCGAGGGTGACCATCTCCGTGCCGTCGCTCCACCGCGTGGTCCCCGTCAAATTCTTCCACTTCGTTCCTGCGAAGTCGTCCGAGGCGAAGCCCAGCCTCAGGTCCCCGTTCATGTCCGGGCGTTTGTACTGCTTGGCCTCCACGGAGTCAAACAGCTGCTGGAGCTCTGCCACGTCGGCCTCAGTCATCTCCGTCTTCACCCTGCTGTCCGACAAATTCGTGAAGCTCGTGTTGCAGACCACGTTGCCCGTGTTGCCTGCGATCACCAGGCAGCCGGGGTTCCTCTGGTTCGTGGTCAGGGACAGCTGCGTCGAGAGGCTCTTCGTCTGCACCAGCGCCTCGTCGTTGATCATGAAGCTCGCACTGGTGCGCCCCGCCGTCCCGCTCCAGGAAGACCCGCGCGCTCTGGTTGCCCAGCAGCCGCAGCTCCGGGCCGCTGTCGGGGGCCGCGCTGTTGTTGGACACTTGCAGCTTGCTCCAGCCCGCCCAGTTCTTCGTCAGGAAGAGATCGTCCGAGAAGTCGGAGGTGTTGGTCACGGTGAGCGTGTGGGAGGCGAAGAGCTGCGGCGCGGAGACCGTGCCCGAGCTCGTCACGTCGCCGCACACCACGCTGCCCGTCGACACTCCGCCGCTCGTGGCCGGGAAGGTGCAGTCCAGGCTCTCGCAGCGCAGCAGCCCCGCGGAGGCCGCACCGGTGATGGTCAGCGTGGCGCCCGTGACCGCCCCGGTGGCTGCGAAGCTCGCTGCGGTTGCTGCGCCTGAGGCCGTCAGCGTGCCCGTGGACACGTCGCCTACCGTGGTGAAGTTTCCAGCGTTGGCCGTGTTGTTGATGGTGAGAGTGCTGCCGGTGATTCCGGTGGCCGAGCTCAGCAGGCCCACGCTGGCCGCCCCGCTGATGCTCAGCGAGCTGCCCGACACGGCGCCGGTGGACGTCAGCGTGGCTCCGGCGACGGTGCCGGCTGTGAGCGCTGCGCAGGAAATGGCGCCCGAGGCGTCCACGCCCGTGGTGAACACGTCGGTGCAGTTCACGTCGTTGCACAGCAGCTGGTCGCCGCCCACGTTGCCCTGCGCGGTGAGCCCGTCCAGCGTGGCCGAGCCCGTGAGGGCCAGCGAGTCCGCCAGCAGGTCCGTTACCGAGACAGACTCTCCCTCGAAGGCGCTGGCCCTGATCTGCATGCTGTACAGGTCCAGCGTGCCCGCCGTCTGCTGCACCAGCCCGGGGATAGACCCGCCGAAGGCTCCGAAGTGCAGCTTCGCGATTCCGCCCGGCGGCACCGAGAAGTCCAGGCGCGCCGTGCTCCAGACTCCCTGCGAGGGCGTGCCGAGGAAGGTGCCGGTGACGCCCACGTAGTCGTTGTCGGCCGCGCTGACGTACATCACCAGGTTGGAGGCCGTGCCCAGCCGGTACCGGCAGCCAGCCGAAAGAGTAGCGTCTCCCCGGCGCCAGGGTGTAGGTGCGCACAATGTTCCAGGCGAAGGCGCTCAGGGTCATGGCGTAGCCCTCCAGCTGGAAGCCTCCCACAGTGAAGCTGGCCGAGGCCACGGAGCTCTGACTGTTGGAGCGCACCAAAAAATTCCCTAATGTGGTGAGCGTGGGTTCCAGCAGCACCTCGCCCAGGGTGGCCAGCGTGACGTCGTCGGCCCCTCCGTCGAGGACCTCGTGCTTCAGCAGCAGGGCCGAGGCCGCCGTGTCCTCCTCCTCCACCGTGTCGCCGGTCTCCAGGGTTGCGCCCAGGATCTGGAGGCCGTAGACGTCCACCGTTCCTGCCGTCTGGTTGGGCAGGCCCGGCGCCTGGAAGTGCGCCCCAAAGTGCAGCTTCGCAACTCCGTTCGGAGGCACTGTGAAGTACATCTTGGCCGTGCTCCAGGTGCCCTGGTCGCCCACGAAGCTGCCGTACAATGGGTCGTAGACGTTGTCGGCCTCGGACATGTACACCACGAAGTTGGAGGCCGTGCCGAGCCGGTAGCGGCAGGCGAACAGGAGCTCTCGGCCCGGCGTCAAGTTGTAGGTGCGCACAATGTTCCACGGGTTCGCTGCCAGGGTCAGGGTGTAGCCGTCCACGCTCACTCCCGCGGTGTGCGTGGCCAGGACCACGCTGCAGCCGCTGCTGGGGCGGACCGTCCAGTTTGACAGTGAGACGTCCGTGGGGCCCAGGATCTGCTCTCCTATGGCGGCCACCACCTCGTCGGCCCCTCCGTCGTCCGGAAAGCGCACTGCTATTTGCAGCGCCGAGGCCGCCTCCGTGACTCCGAGTTTGTTGGCCAACAAACCGTCCACCTGCGTGATGGTGTAGTAGCTGAGCAGGGCGGCGGCGATGCTTGAGGCCGGTGCCGTGTCCTGGTCGGCGGCCGAGCGGTACGCCACCAGCGCGGAGGTGATTTGGTTGGTTGTGAACACGTCCTGGTCCGGGCCCGTCCGGTAGGCCAGCAGCGCGCCCGTGATGGCGGCCTGCGTCTGCGTGTCCTGCGCGCTCGCCGTGCGGTAGTCTCCCAACAGCGCGTCCACGTGCGCTGCGGTGTAGTAGGCCAGCAGCGCGGCTGTGATGGCGCTGGTCGTCTCCGCGTCCTGCGCTGCCCCTGTGCGGTAGTCCCCCAACAGAGTGTCCACTTGTAAGGAGGTGTAGTAGGCCAGCACGGCTGCTGTTATGGCAGCGTCAGTGCCCGCCGTGGAGTAGCAGTCTGCCGTGATGCTCAGCGTGTCGTCGCCGTTGGCCAGCGCAGCAGAGAGAGGAGCCACGAAATGCAGGTTGCGAACGGCGTTGCTTCCGCGACCGAGCTCCCAAGTTGTGAAGCCCGCCCAGGCCGGTGCGTTAACAACTCCGCCGCTGCCGGAAAGCTGCAGGGCGGCGAGCTCCGCGAGGATTGCGTCGAGGGCGCTCTGGAGCGTGGTCTCGCTGGCTGAGAGCGCGGCGTTCGTGGCGTACGAGGCCAGCAGCGTCGCGTCGGTCTTGGCCCCCTGGAGCGCCGTGATGCTGGCGTCATGGCTAGCAAGCTGCGCTGCGACGAAGGCCTCGGTGGCGAGACCCAGCAGGGCATTTGCTATCTTGGTGTCTACCTCCAGTGGCGTGTCCAGCCCGTCCACCGTGGAGAGCAGGGAGGCCAGCGCGCGTGCGTCCGCCTTGCCGAGGAGGGCGGCGTCCAGGGCTGCCGTGGTGACAGCGTCCAAGAGGGCTGTCGCGATCTTAGAGTCCACCACCGAGGAAGTGTCCACGGCCGACTGCAGGGCGTAAGCAGTCAGGGCGCTGGCGTCTGCCTTGGAGGCCTGCAGCCCCGAGATGCAGGCGTCTCGGCTCGCGAGCTCGGAGGCCAGCACCGCGGCGGTGACGGCCCCCAGGAGAGCGTTGGCCACCTTGGTGTCGACCTCCAGCGGCGTGATCCTCGCCGCTATGTCTAGGGAGTGCTGGTCCACCACCGTCGTGAGGCCGTAGTTGGCGGCCACCGTGGCCAGCGTGGCGTTGTTGGCCGAGGCGATGGAGCCGTTCATGGCCGCCGTGGTGCTGTAGTTGGACAGCTTCAGGTCCACGCCGTCCGGGGTGCTCTTAGTGGC